AAGTGATTACCTCTGAAGGGAGACAGGGCTATGACCGCCACAGGACATACAGAGGGGCTCTCTAGAGAGGCCACTAATTATCTGCCTCTTCTCTTGACCTGCATGCTGGTCACAAGCAATATTCATCTTATAATAGTTAACTGTGGTCTGCATGCTGTGCATGGAGTCTGTATGAGCGCTTTATTTTACTATAAAAAGGTAAAAAGGAGAACACAAAAGTATGATAATGTGTGTTATTTTAGAAAAGGTTCAGATTAATACACACACCCAAACACTGAGAAAACAACAACATTGTGTATTATATATATATATATGCAAAAATTGGCCCAGGTTTGGATTAAAAATAACTTTCTATAATGTAATTCTGAAATAGTACCTATTTTTCTTTACCTTTGAACAGGAAAAGTATTTTTTCAGTTTCTAAGTTTATTAATTTTTAATAGAGAAATAGGTATCAGTTACTTAGTCATAATCAGAAATGTTTTAAAATAAAATGAACACAATACCTTAGGATAAGCTGCTCCTTCCTCTCTCCTACATCAATTATATAAGCTTCATGGGTTAAGGATATAGCAAGATGTGGAGTGCACATGAATGTTTCCCAAATACTGTACGTGATCATCAAATAAGAAAGACTAATGCCCTATAGATATGAACCCTCCCTGGCAACATTTATCTATGCATTTAACACAGTCCTGATAACAATATTAATGGGTTTTCTTCTTGGAGGGAAGGGAGTGGTGACTTCATATGTCTATTCTACAGTTCATATATTTATAATAACCACACAAACACACACACAAATATGAAACTTCTGTAAAATGGAACTACCCCTACCAAAAAGAAAAAAGCATTATTCAGCTCTGAAAGTTAAAAAAAAAAAAAAAGGTGTGATCCTGGTATACACACAGGCAGGGAGATCAATGAAACTAAATGGATATCCCAGAAATAGACCAAAATGTGCAAGATTTATAATTTAAAAAAACAAAGGAGGAAAGTCAGAACTATTCACTAAAATTGGCATGACTAACCAGTGCGACAGAGACTGCTCATTTTCCACTAAAATTCCTTCTCTGCTGAAAGCTGACCAGCAGAGACTGTGTTCCCCACCCTCCCTTGCAGGGAGGTGTGCCCACATGACTCAGTTCTCACCAATGCAAGCAGACGTGATGTGTGCCACTTCTGATCACTTGCCCTGGACTTTCTCCTTTGTCCTTCACACTGAGGGAACCCAGACTGGTAGCACCTCAGCCATGACCATGCAGCTAACTGAGATAACCACAGGGACAATTACCAAAGCAACAGGACAGAAGGAACCTGAGTCTCAGTGACCACTGGATATGGGCTCTTCTGCTGACCTGGTTTGCTCACACCGGGGCTGTTAAGTTGAGGAATAAAATCAACTTCTATATTCTTTGAACCATAGCATATTTAGGTCCTCGGTTATAGCAATTCAGCCTTACCCTAATTAATAGAGCCCCTAAAGAAAAACTAAGTTGGATTCCTACCTAATATTGGAGGTAGATTCAAGATTTAAATCTGACAAAAGAACCACGTTGTACTACAAGGAACCACGAGATACATTTTTAACTCTAAGAATGGATAGGTCTTTTAACCGTGATACAAAATCCTGAAGCCACAATGTCTGATTATATATTTAGCTCTATAAATCTTTTTTGAACATTTTATTGACTGTCTCTTCCACTAGAATATAAGCTCCATGGCACAAGAATTGGGATCTGTCCTCTTCACTACTGTGCTATACTAGGTATAGCCTGCTGCCTAATACCTAGAGATATTCAAAAGTATGTGTTGAGTGAATAAACTGGTACACTTAAGTATACAAAATTTTAAACAATCTGCCCAACAAAATATTTTTATACAAATGACTAAATATAAACACAGAGGGAACAAAACAGGAAATACAAATGGCCTTTACGCTCATGAAAAGATGCTCAATGTCAATCAAAACAAGAAAAATGCAAATCAAAGCTACATTTAACTATCATTTTTCCTATCGATTTAGCAAAGAAAAAAACCTATCAGTTTGACAATCATAAGGGTATGAGGAAGCAGTGTCCTCATCCATTGCTGGTGAAATCTAAAACTGTGCAAGCTCCATGAAAAAGAGCAACTTACATTTCTACCGAAATCAAAATGTATGTGCCCTTTGCCCCACCAATTCCACTACTAGAATCATACAGATATGCTCATAAACATGTTTAAAATGATATATGTACAAGGTCATTCCCTATAGCCTCATTCATGAAAACAAAACTGGAAATGATCCACATGGTCATCAACACAGTACCAGTTAAATAAACTAGAGCACATCTCTCCTGTGGAATACTAGGCATTCATGAAAAAATACAGTATTAACATGGAAGAACTTCCAAGAAATATTGTTTCAATGAAAAAAAGGTACAAAATAGTATATAGTGTTACCATTTGGGTTAAAAAAAGAAATTGTAATATAGACTAGACTATGTGCTGGTGTATTATCTATGTCCTGAAATCTCTGGAAGAATATACACCAAATTGATAACAATGGTTGGTTGCCTCTAGGAAAGGTCGCTGGGCACCTGGGAGACAGGAGAGGAGGGAGAATTATTTTTCACTCTTTCATACCTTTTTGAATCTTATACACATTGATTATAGTACCTCCTTAAATTAACTATTTTATAAATGACCATACAAACATTCATTCCCAGCCCCAGATATCTGAAAACTTCTCTAGTGATTCTCACTGTCAGCCACACCAGGAAACTAAGCTGAGCAATTTTAAGCCTGTTTCATAATTAAGAATCACAGGGTTAGCAATTAATTTACACCATCATCTCCTCCTCCTCCCTCAAATAAATATATATGCAAAATAGTCAGTCTTTTAATCCCATCCCCGTTATTCATTACTTCCTCCTAAAACTAATTCAACCTCATGCCACCTGAAATGGGCACTAAAATGTCAAAATCCTCCAAGGATAGTAGTAGCCAGGACTAACAACTATGCTAATATGTTTACAAGCCTAGTGTCTAAGAAGTCCCTTCCAGGCATCCAGAAGATGAAAATTTGACATAATGGACACCTCGGCAACAGCCCAAAGCTGCCTTGGAAAATAAAAACTCACCCTTAATGACTAAAAGTCCAACGTCAACAGTCATGGCTTTTGTTTTTTCCCCAATGTGAAAGGGCTCTCCCACCTCTCCTTCTAAATTATAGGGTAACCCCTCACTTGAGGGCTGGTCATTGTGATGTTAACCATACAAGGAGCACTAAGCAGTCACTATTTAGACCCAAATTCTGCTCCAAAGGGAAAAATTCTGCATAAAAGGGCAAATGGCCACAACATACCAAGTGGAAGGGAAAAGCAAGTTGTAAAACATGTCATCGTATTCCATTAATTTTTAAACATAATAAATATGCATATGAAAAGATTTGTGCGTGAAGAAGTGTATGTTCCAAATCATGAGCTACAGGTGAAAAGAGAAAACGAAGGGAGGAAATTTTATCTCCATGTTTGTCTGTACTCTAGACTGCTTTGTACCATTTGAGGTTCAATAACCAAAAATAAACTTTTACATAAAGGATAAAATTTTTTAAAATAATATACTAGGTTCTCCTTAAAAAGTGAAGCACCTGACAGCTCCTAGAGGCCCTCCCCCAAGGTGCCGAACCTGAGGCGGTAGCAGAGGCTGAGCCTGAGGACCTTATTCCAAAGTTACGTCTCAAACCAATTCAAGCAATCCCAGCATTTAACTCACAGACACACCCACCAACATACAGAACTTGAGGCCTCTGGGCACAGAAACACCTTACAGACTCCATTCTAAAGTAGGTATTTGTATTACCCCCATAGCTGAACACAGCCTTAACAATAGTTCATCCTGACAGCAAGCCGTCCTTACTTCAAAATATTCCACAGGAAGCAAATTATGAAAGTGTAGTTCTGAAAAACGTAAAAGGATGGAGACAATAAAAAGATGGTGGTTGCTGTGGGGGGCGTTGAGGGTGGGTTGTTGAGAGAGCCCCGAGGATGTTTAGGGCAGTGAAGCTTGTCTGTATGATACCTTACAGTGATACGATGCCATGATATGTTTGTACCATCCCACAGAAGGTAGAAGGCCAAGGGTGAGCCTTAAGGTAATCTACGGGCTTTGGGTGATAACGATGTGTCGGTGTGGGTTCATCTATTGTAATAAATGTACCACTCTGGTGAGGGACATTGATACAGTGGCCCCACACCCCATGCCCCCTGCCCATCCACGGATTCCTGAAACGAACCCTATATATACTATGTTTTTTTTCCTATACTTACATATCTATGATATGTTTAATTTGTAAATTAGTTAAAAGATTAACAACAATAAAATAGAACAATTATAACAATATACTGTAATAAAAGTTACGTGAAGGTGGTCTCTTTCTCTTCCTCAAAATATCTTCTTGTACTGTACTCACCCTTCTTTCTACAACGATGTGAGATGGCAAAATGCCTACATGATGGGATGGAGTGAGGGAATGCCATGGGCACTGTGACGCAGTGTCAGGCTACTAGTGATTTTCTGGCCATCACGTCAGGAGGCTCCTCTGTTTCCAGACCGTGCCTGACCATGCATAACTGAGACCCCAGGAAGAAAACCCGCACAGAAGAGGGAACTACTGCAGAGAGAGAGGTCGTGCATGTTGGGGACAGGGTATACAGGAGAACTCTATTTTCTGCTCAATTTTGCTGTAAACCTAAAAGCTCTAAAACATAGTCTATTTAAAAGGAAAAAACTAATAATGGCTCTGTAAGGTGAAAGGCATGGCAGAAGCATGTTACATGCAGGAGAATGCTGGTAGTATTTTAATTTGGCCCAAGTTAAAGCATAAGTGAGCAGATCTACCAACATAAGCCTACCTTCCAAGTGATGCAAGACTAAGAACTGTTAGGCTGGGTCCTAACTTTTTTATACCGGATTTGTATAAACCAACAAAATGATCATTGTAGCTAAGCAATTACCGTGTAGATTTGATCTCTCCCAAACAGCATTAAAAGAGGTGATTTGCTGAAATGGCTCTACTGTCGGCTCTGGCTGGCAATGCTGCTCTGAGCTCCTGGGTGAAAGCTGACTCAGCTACCTCAGAACTGACTCCAGGTCATATCTTCCCCGCAGTCCCCGGGGCTGTGTGCTCTGGTCCAAAGCCCCGCTCACTCCTTCACCGGAGCCGTGGGGGTGGGAGAGGCGCCCCCGGAGTCTCCTGAAATTACGTGAAGATCTCCAGCAGTTCTCGTTCTGTCAATGTGACACTCACAAATGGCTCGGTCTGCAAGGGGGAAGAAGAAAGAAACCCAGTTAAGCAGAAGAAAATTCGGAAGTTGTGAAAGTTCTGGCTTAAGAAAGTTCACACTTCACAAGCCTTTCCATTGGGACCACAAAACTAAGGCCGATTTACAACTGAAGCAAGTCTGGAAAGGGCTGAACAACACTGGCGTGCATTATGCTGCCGTCATAGATCGACAGGGTTCTTTAAGTTTTTTTCTCAATGACACAAAACCCAGGAATGTCTGTAGCAGAAAAATTTCAAAATCAAGTTCCTTTAAAGCCCATATACCATGTACTCTAGTGCATTACAAAGAAGAACCAAAAAAAATGGCTTTGCATATATTATTACAGACTTCATTCAAAAAAAAAAAAAACAGTTCAAGCAGTACATAAGTATAGAATCAAAGTCTCTCTCCAGACTCCGGCTGCTCCTGGAGACACCCCATGTACCAGAGGAACCAGTGTCTTGTGCATCCACCCAGAAATGATCTGGTTTTGGTCCATTTTCAACCACCATTTTCAGCTGTACACAGATCTAGTTCAAAGGCTCATAAAACAATGGTAGGGAAGGAGCACACAGAGGAAGGAATGGGGCTCTAGATAACTAACAGAAAACAAAAAGCCACCCAGGCTCCCTTGTCCTAAGACTTTAAAAACATTTGCCAAAGGAAGAGGAAATTTTCATTAGACCCAAACTTTTCCATTCAAATAGTTAAGTAACACAAAACATTGAAGAACTTACTCCTTTCAGAAAACAGCATCTTTTTTTTTCTAACCTCTAGGAACATTTTGTCAAGAGCACCTTCATATCAATAAATCAAAGCACAAAACAAATCCAAAATACAGCATTCCTAAATAATTATTTGAAAGGAAAAACACATCAACCTTGAAGTTCAAGGGAAATGCTTTACAAAACACATCAGACCTTTCCTTGGTTCGGTTTAAATTGAAGCTCACAATCAATCTGAAATGAAAATCTAGTCATGTAAAAAGCACACTAGAATAAAGACAAAATATCCTCCCTGTAGAAAGGCCACCCAGAAATTTGGTATTTTTACTAATCATTTATTGAAGCTAAGAGTAAAAATCCATTTATCGAGTGGACATCCTTAAAAACAAGCCCATCAGCTAAGCAGCATCCACAAACCTTGAGCTTCAGAACAAACTGCTGAAATCCTGGGGCCAGAGAAATTTGGCGAATTCACAATGGAGTTGCTTTCCCCTCTGCGAAGACTAACTGCATGTTAGAGAAGGAAGCCAGGGCTAGGCTGCCCTGCCTGTGACCAACCATGTCTTTAAATGACAGCTACGGTTTGCGTGGAGCTTTAGATAGGCAATAAAATAAGGACACACTGGGGCATATTTTTCTGATTCTTTTTTAAAAATCAGATTTTTTTTTTTTAATTACAAAGATACCTCTATTTCCCTTCTAACTTCCCAGCCCTAACACCTTCACTGCTTGGAATTCCTTCAAGACTGTGCTCAGGTTCTCCTGCCTCTTTTCAGCCTTCTCCAATGATTCTATTTCCCAGATTTTTCCATTCCAACTTTTCTGGTTATTTATATTCTATAGATGCCTCAACCTGGCACTTAATTCTCCGTCTTGAACTAGGTTTGTCTCAAAACCAATTTAAAACCAGGCAAGATCACATGTTACAACTTCTGCTATATATCCCTTCTTCAAGGTACCTAGCATATATAGATGGTGCTCCACAATTACGGGATAAAAATCAAGACTTCAAATTGAACATAATTTAATGTTTGTTTTAAAATTCATCAGGCACTCGAATAAGCCAAACTGAAGTCAAAACTATCTTGTACTACCAGGAAGAATAGGTTGGGAGCTAAATTGAAGAGCAAATCTAGATACTTAACTCTTCAAATGGTCTACTTAGGTCCCGTCTCCCCACAAATACCCTTCATGCCCAAAGCAAGCCTAGAAGATCCTGAAAGGTAATAGAAGCAGTGTGCTCCAAACCCTAAGAGTGATTAAAGAAATAAAAACAACCCCATTAAAGGGACATATGCACCAATTAAAATCAGTGCTGTAAAATAAATATTTCAGCAATTTGTCACAAAACCTTCAGAGTGGAGTTTTTCCAAAACCATAGCCAACTCAGTTGTTTGGCCCTGGAGGTTTAATTATTGGCAGCTAATCGTGCCGTGTGAAAATCTGATCCCTGAAAGTCAGAGACCCATTCCTGCAAAGTGGTGGAAGATGAATGTGAGGAAGAGGAAAGGGAGAAATCCAATTCCAACTGCAGGCTTACCACAGTAGTGCATTTTCTTTTATTCAATTCAGAAGAACATGCATAGTTTCTTAAAGGCTATTATGATATGTCAGGACCTAAGTAACAGGCAAGCATGGAAGATACTTCAAATCGAACAAGTTCTTGGCAGTCAACTCAGCAGCTAAGCAACAGACAAAAAAACCAGGGCAAGGTTTCTCAACCTCTTCATTATAGCTGTACCCTGGGCTTCCAGAAACTGTGGCTTCCAAATACTGCAAATCCTTCCCTTTCCAGACACCACCTTTTCTACAGGAGCAGGTGCTAACTACGTGTAGGTGCAATAATCACTTTGCACATAAACAAATATCATTGCGCTATGTACCTAAAACTAACACAATTGAAAAAAAAACAGAAAAAACATTAGCCCATACCTTCCCTGTCTACCCATCCAACCCCATAACCGAAATCAACCACAGTGTCCCTTACAGTAGAAATGCCATTAACTGAAATTATTTTAGCAAAGAACATGAAAAGAGTCAAACTCAGTTTCCCGACCTAATAAATGTGATCTTTCACAAATCATTTAACCTCTGTGAATTTCAGTTTCTTTTCGCATCAAACAGGGTAAATACCTCACACCTTTGAGTTACTGACAATGCCAGATATCATTTAGCAAGCCCTTAGTTCTAGAACTATGATAATCTTACATTTACATTGTTTGATTTCATCCAAATAACACAAAAATTGAGAGGAAGGGATTATTACTCCCATTTGAAAGATGAGAAAAAATGCAGAAAAGTTAAGTAAAACTGCCCAAGATCACACTTTAATAATAAGTGGAAAAACGAAGAATCAGTTCAAGTTTTGCAGACTCTAAAACCTACGTTCTTAATAACCAACAAGTTAAATTGTATTTTAATTGCTTGAAAGAACTGAACCCAGTGTTCATATTAAATATTCTTAGCTTCCTTTCCTGTTTACTACCCTTAGAGTAACAAAAATGCTAAAGCAACATGGCGGGAGAAGTACAAAGCACATCAACCACCACCCCAAATCATCTGCATGGTACTACAGATGTCCTCTTGTTCTGTCTCTCAAGTAATATTGTTATAACCAAGCATAGAAATGCTGAGTAATTTGAAAAATAATGTCCTCTAGATGGTTGAGTACCTGGGAAAGACAGCTATGATCTCCTAGTAATTCTAGAGAAAGGCAACAGGGGTCTCAGCAGGTTCTCAAGATTCACCATCTCCCCAGTGGAACAAAAATAGGTCCAAGGACCTAGAAAACTGATAAACTTGAGGGACCCCATAAAGCAGAAATAACAGGGAGAGCCACATAAGACTGGGAAAAGATCAATGCAGACGGAATTAGAAGTGGAGAAGAATATGAAGACACCCCCAGATCTCCTTTTCCTGGGGTTTCCAAATTCTCAGTTGATATTAGTCTTTGGGATTTGGGAGTAAGAAATGGAAATTTCCAGGAATTTCTCCAGGATTTCCCCCAAATTACAGTTAGTCTTAAAATACTTCCAAATATTCTTTACTCACCATTATATATCTTTAAATCTTTTTGTTAAATAAAGTTGATAGTACTTACAAACAATTGAAGCCTATAATAAATATTCAAATGCTAGAAAATGCCAGTGAACATGTTTGAGTAATATTCCAGTAGTGGGTCAAATCCAGTCCACAGTCTGTTTTGGTAAATAAATGTTTTATTGGAACACAGCCCTCCTTGTTGATTTTACGTATAGTCTATGGCTGCTTTCACACTAAAACAGCAGAGCTGATAGTTGTGACAGAGTCCATATGCCTTGCAAAGCCTAAAATATTTACTATCTGGCCGTTTAGAGAAAAAGTTTGTTGACCCCGGCAATACCCTGCGTTTGGATCTATGAGGAAGGTTAATGGCACAACACAGAGTCCCATGTTAAAACTGACATTTTTAAGACATTTTGCCTCAGAAATGTATCTCTTGGAATACCATGAACAGAATTTGTATACAACATGCTATGCACATAAACTTGCATTTATTTTATCTTCAAGGAGGACTCACTAGTAGCAGCAGACAGAGCCATAAACACACATTTATAACATAGCAACAGCTACCAGGAATCACAAACGAGCCTCTCCTTTCTGCCCCCATCCTGTGCTGGCTCTGGGAAATGTCAATCTTGTCTTTCAACTTCACAGGTTAACTTTCAATGGATTCCTTGGATCTACCAATGTCTCTATGTTAACCATTTAATTTTCATAGAAGAATTACAACTCTTTCCCATTTACCTGATTTCTTACCAGATTTTGGGGGATTTGGAAAGACATATATTTCCCAAGAAATCCTGGGAAGGAATTCTGCCCTGGAAACACTATTCCCTCCAGGTGTCTATTTACATACTAGGTAGGAATCAAACTCACTAGACATTTAAAGGATGGAAGATAAAGAGTTGTAGAGAGGAAGGAGATGTGAGGAAGAACAAAAGCTCCAGAATGTTTTAAGAAAGAGATTTAAGGTCTAGCTCAAAGCCTAGACAGAAGACCAGCCAAAAGAGAGATAGGATGAAGGTGAGATTTCCTAATGTTTAAGCCCTATGATGGATTTAAGGCCCAAATAGCAAAGCACCTTTCTCCTCCAGAATTTCAATTACAATCTGGCAGAGCTGAGAGGCATCCATTGTAGACCGCTGCCAGGAGTGAATGTAATTAAGTACCAGGCTATATATTTCTGAAGGTAACCTGCTTATAATTTATCATCGCAAACACCCTCATCT